CCACAATACGTTCCTCCTTATCTCTAAACTGTCGCACGAGCTCATGGAAGAAAAAGACGCTCCAGAGTAGTGCCACTCCAATTAGAGCCCATTCTTGAACTCTTTCTTCTTCGAAAAACTTTCAAGGCAAGTCGCGTTCGGAAACGGTGGAGTTTCTGCAGAGCCAAAGGCTATTGCCTCCGCCCCCAGATGTATTAATACGAAGTGAAAAGGAAAAACATGGAGAACTTGCCTGAGGTGTCCCATATGAATTACCGTGTTGAACCGCGCTTGTACGTGCATTCGAAGAAACGTTTTTGTTTCCACTTGTTGGTGCCGGTTGTTTCTCCTTATCACTCACCCTCGCCATTAAAAATCAACAGAGTGAGTGAAACAACTCGCAGCAGGCACAGAATATATCACCCCATATATATAATTCGCTTTGTCTGTTTGTTCTTGTTTGTTTGTTTGTTTGTTTGTTTGTTTGTTTGTAAGTTTGTTTGTTTGTTTGTAAGTTTGTTTGTAAGTTTGTCTGTCCGGAAATTCGGTTCGACCTGAAGAACGACTTGGAGAGGTCCGGTCAAGGTGGGGATGGGTAGGGCGTGGGACAAGAAATAAAAAGCACACTTGACCTAAGGGAAGCTCCGCCCACAGTGGGCGGGGCACTCCCCGAAAGTTTGGGGTTCCGCACAAAAATGTTCATAATTCGCTTCCGGGGCAGCCTAAAGATGGGGGAAAAAGGGAATAAGGTTAGTAAGGAGTCGCCAGACTAACTGTGGCAGGTACACCCTAAATGGGCGGGGCGTACTCAAGGTGGGCGGTGCTTCTCGCAAAATTCAGTAACCCGGTTCGCGAGAGTGTTTGGAAGTCGCAAAAAGCTCAGTTTAGAATGTAAATATCTGGCGAATATAGGGCACGCTCAAAGCGTGTTGAGACCCGCCCACAGTGGGCGGGGCTTGCCCTAAATCGCAGGGTATTCATTTTAAATGTTTGTAGCTCGGCTTCCCAGAAACACTCCAAATACCGGAAAAAAAGTGGATTAAGTTCAGCAGAGGGTCGTCGGTTAAGATTGTAGGGCAAAAAAATTGTGGGCGGAGCCTGCTCCGAGGTGGGCGGAGCCAGACAAAAAAGGTCTGTAAAACGGTTCCAGAATACTCCAGACACCGGAAAAAGTGGATTAAGGTCAGCAGAGGGTCGTCCGGTGGTGGATTAGATGGGGGGCCCAAAAACGATGTGGCGGAGCCTGCTCCGAGGTGGGCGGAGTCAGACAAAAGATCTGCAAAACGGCCCCAGAGCACTTCAAAGACCGGAAAAAAGTGGATCAAGGTCAGCAGAGGGTCGCGGTGAGGATTGCGGGGCAAAAACATTGTGGGCGGAGCCTGCTCCGAGGTGGGCGGAGCCAGACGAAAATTCCCTAAAACTGTCCCAGAGCCAGGAGCAGGGTCGTGCGGTGAGGATTGGGGGCACAAACATGTGGGCGTGGCGCTACTCCGACGGGGGGCGGTAGCAGACGAAAAAAGGCTCTCGTAAACGGTCTCCCAGAATACTCCAGACACCGGAAAAAAAGTGGGTTAAGGTCAGGCAAGAGGTCGTCGTTCAAAGATGACGGGGCAAACAAAAGATTCGTCGGCGTCGAGAGCTTCTCCGATCGTGTGGCGGAGCCAGACGAAAGTTCCCTAAAACTCCCAGAGCACTTCAAAAACCGGAAAAAAACGTGGATTAAGGTCAGGAGAGGGTCGTCGGTGAGGATTGTGGGGCACCAACACTTGGGCGGGCCTGACTCCCGAGGTGGGCGGAGCCAGACAAAAGGTCTGTAAAACGGTTCCAGAATACTCCAGACACCGGAAAAAAGTGGATTAAGGTCAGCAGAGGGTCGTCGGTTAAGATTGTAGGGCAAAAAAATTGTGGGCGGAGCCTGCTCCGAGGTGGGCGGAGCCAGACAAAAATTCCCTAAAACTGTCCCAGAGCACTTCAAAGACCGGAAAAAACGTGGATTAAGGTCAGGAGAGGGTCGTCGGTGAGGATTGTGGGGCACAAACATTGTGGGCGGGGCCTGCTCCGAGGTGGACGGAGTCAGACGAAGAATCTGTAAAATAGCTCAAGAGTACTTCAGACACCGGAAAAAAATGGAGTACAGAACAAAAGGGGGATATCAGTTGAATCTAGAAATATGTGAAAGAAAGCACGCGCGGCGAAGCCGCGCCCGCCCGGCGCAGCCGGGCCGTATCAGAAGGAGCCACGCCGGCGTCAGCCGGCGAGGCGACTGGTAAGAAATAAAAGTTAGGCGTTGCCGTGGACAGTGTGGCGGGATCGTGGCCTAATCACGAGTGGGCGGCGTTTTCCTCACGTATTTTCGAGCTGCCAAAGTGGTGCATCTTTCAGGCTTGCATTGAGGACTACCACGTCCAAAGGAGGCGTAACGAATAAACGCTGTGCGTGCGTTTAACGGTTTTTCTGCTGTTTTTTTCATGTTAGTGTCAACTAGCTCCTCGTAGATTATAGAGTGAGCGTCATCCGTCATCTTGCCATCTATCCTCCTTTAACGGGCATCCAAAATACGGATAAAGATGCGGCTTAGGATTTTCAGTGCAACTAATTGGAGAAAAATCGAGACTTGGCTCAAGTTACCAGCTTCCCATAGTACACTGGTGTGCAAAACTTGGAGACGAAAGCAACTTTCGATCACTGTGCCTCTGCCAGACAACATAGCTCGATGAAATTCATATCATATCAAGAGAGAACCTTAACGATATTGTACAGAAAGCAACTGACAGAAACTCGGAATAAGACGAATTGTTATGACATTTTTATTCAACCATGTCGATTACACATAAGTCTTCACGATTTATCCTGGTACTACAAAAGAAGTTACACGGATCCTAATAGGGTGTGTGATCACCACGGACAGCAATACATGCTCTGCACCGCGATCCCATACTCTCCACGAGGTTGGTAATGAGTTCCTGGGGAGTCAACATCAAAAAGGCAACAGTCGTTGGTAGTTTAGGCAAAATCTTCCATCCTACAACTGTTTCTTCGCACTTTTCAGCGTTAACTGCTTAAGCTTTCAAATATAGCTAGGACGGTGTTATATCCATGTCTTAAACATGAGGTTACTTCTATTTTGCCGAGGAGGAAGCAGAAGAGTCGATGAGTCATCACTCGCCGCGAGCCGCGTGGTCCCCCCCCCCAAATACGTTAGCACCGAAATTGCTGGATCGTTAAATCCACTTGGGTGCATTTGTCGTGCTGCATATTGGCGTGAACTACCACAAGTCTATGCTCATTCCAGCAACAATGGGTGCTCGATGGGATTCAGGTCGATGGGAACCGGAAATGCGACGATTGGCCACTCTCAATATCGAGCCGAGAATATATGTCGCCCGGTCCCCGATTCAATGAATCCTACACTGCCCACTTAGTTCGCTGCTTCGATGCGCGATGCGCGCACTTGTCATCCGATGAAAATGCAAGTCCAGGCCAATTTGCAGCTGCATGAAAAGACGGACATTATGTAGGAGGAACCTGCGTCGCAAGTAGACGCTAACTGGGCGTGAAAGTTCCAACTCGCCCTCAGAAATCTGTGCACATCTTCTCGGAGACACAAGCAGATACCCAAAAGCTTCACGGCCTATGCCCATTAACACAATGATGCCTTCCATACCATAACACTCCTGCAATACGTGAACACCTCAGCGAGATCACGTTGCGGACATTCACCGTTTTACCGAGAAACAAGGGGGCAGTATGCGGGTTCCCACCTCTCGCCATATGAGGGTGCGTCTGAGTGAATGCACTGCTTAGGACTTAAACCTACGCTCTCATCCGAAAACGAGCAACACGGTGTACCGATTCCTCATCGGTCCCATTTCGCCATGCTCGCTGAGGGCCACCACGTAGAACGGTGTGTTTCGCCGTATCTGCGCGGGGGGTTCGTTTGCTACTTATAAAACAGACTTTTTATCTCAAGGAGTCCAAACATGGCAGAAAACACAACAGATAACTAGAGTAACTCGATCATCCGGGAGGTTGATTAGCGGGCGGTCGTCAACGGGCCGCAGCGCGTGCCAGGAACTATTTGCTTTTCCAGGCTAATTTAGTCATTTTTTCCACCTTGTGAAGATAAGGAGCTGCTAATCTGGATGCGGGACAAAAAGTAGCTCGAGCAACCAGTGCCAAGTTGGAACAAATGAACCACAATTAGTCTGGAAAAAGCAAATGTTCCTGGCAACGGCGCTGCTGGCCCGTTCGACCGACCCGCCTGAATCAACTGCCCCCCCCCCGGATGACCGCGTGGTCGAGGTAGAAGAGACCAACACCGATGCAGTCGTCTTGGCAGTGTAGTGCGTGAGAATGGCGGTGCTAACACTTAGAGGGCCTTGTTAAACGTCCGTTGCAGATAACCATGGCCGACTGTACGAGTACTCTTCTTGCTGCCTGGCCCACAATGTAGGGTCTCGGTCCCTGCGGAGTGTAGTTGTCCTTGGTCGGCCACCTCCTCGTCTTCGGGCAGCAGTACCAAAGGTTCGGAACGCTCTCCATGCACGTGAAACAACGCTGTGAGCGATACCGAACTCCTGGCTACACTCGTCATGGTTCGACCTTCTTCGAGTTTCCCTATGATCCTTCCTCGAGTGAAGTCATCCAGATGCTCTCTTCGGGACATGATGTATCGAAGGATACTACCACAGTTCTTTGCAGCTACTCGTTGATTGAGAAAAATTTTTTTCATACCATAGACTGCCTCGATTTGCGCGGTCGGCCATATTTGGCACTTTATTCAAGCTCTTCTTCCACCGAGAAAAGAGCTAGTCCCTTCTTCCATCGAGAAAAATCTAGCTTCCTGTGCATATCCCTTAGGCGAGTGGCAACATGCTCCCACACTTTCATTTACTTCCACCCAGTCATTAGTGTTTATGTTACTTTATCCATCTCGTCCCTAAGTTTTGCACACCAGTGTACTTTCTTCAAGAGTGCATTCACACTCTGCGTCAGCTCTTGAGTGTACGCCGGCGATATCTATGCCTTCTGAGGCACCGAAAACGTTCGCTGGCACGCGTAGTATGGACGCACTCTAAGAACAGCAGTCGACATTATCTCTTTGGGTTTTTCGTAAGTGTGGCGAGTTGAGCCGATGGAAAGTGGTGGGGAGATATTTGTTTTTTCCGTGCTTGATCTAGACTCTGTGACGGAAATGGAGTAGTGCCAAGTAATCCGCTTAGCAGGCCTACAGTTTGGAAGTGAAATTGCGGCTCGGTCTTAGGCCAGACGAGCTTTCTACCGTCCTGACGGTGAATTGGTACAGATCAGTCTGAGAGGATAAGAACACTGAATTGTACGTCGTTTGCCCCCCCCCCCATAGTCATCATGTAGGCCGTATTACATTCATAAGCCACTAGGATCCTAAAAAGCAGTTTTTGTACTGCAACTTGAAAAGGGATCGATTGAGGGCGAAAACTTTTATCCTTTCGAGACACATTCATTTCAGTTGTTCTAGGCTTGATTTTTATAATCAGCTTTGTATTTTTCGTTTTAGGAAGTACTTCAAAGGTGGGCAGTTCAATGAGCATGTATCTGCTAAAGGACTTGTGGCTGTTGTGACTGGAGCAAACAGCGGCATTGGCTTGGAAACCGTGAGAGGGCTCAATCTTGCCAAAGCTAAGGTGTGTTTCCACCTTCAGTCTACCAGATCTCAAACCTCTAAACCTTGTTGGCGACGATTTCCCCCATG